CCACTCTCACACTAGTAGGTAGTATAGCGCTACATTCATGGATGACCCTTGGTTCAACCTTGGTGATCTGGCCCACTTAGACTCTTGTTTTAACTCACATGATAGCATGTGATGTTCCGGGTGATCTTCCCTTCATTTGCATGTGCTTTTCATTAGTCTAGCCACTCATTGTCATGTTCATACTCAGTGTGATGTTCCGGATGATCTTCCCTCCATGTGCATGTGCTTTTTCATTAGTCTAGCCACTCATTGTCAACTTGGTGTGATGTTCCGGTTGATCTTCCCTTCATATGCATGTGCTTTTTCATTAGTCTCGTCACTCATTGTCATGATCATACTTAATGTGATGCTTCGGATGATCTTCCCTTCATGTACATTTGTTTTTCATTAGTCTAGCCACGCATTGTCCTGTTTATACTTGGTGTGATGTACCGGATGATCTTCCCTTCATGTACATGTGTTTTTCATTAGTCTAGCCACTCATTGTCATGTTCGTACTTGGTGTGATGTTCCGGATGATCTTCCCTTCATGTACATGTGCTTTTCATTAGTCTAGCCACTCATTGTCAGGTTCATACTTAGTGTGATATTCCGGATGATCTTCCCTTCATGTGCATGTGCTTTTTCATTAGTCTATCCACTCATTGTCATGATCATACTTGGTGTGATGTTCCGGTTGATCTTCCCTTCATATGCATGTGCTTTTTCATTAGTCTAGCCACTCATTGTCATGATCATACTTAATGTGATGCTCCGGATGATCTTCCCTTCATGTACATGTGCTTTTTATTAGTCTAGCCACGCATTGTCATGTTTATACTTGGTGTGATGTACCGAATGATCTTCCCTTCATGTACATGTGTTTTTCATTAGTCTAGCCACTCATTGTCATGTTCATACTTGGTGTGATGTTCCGGATGATCTTCCCTTCATGTACATGTGCTTTTCATTAGTCTAGCCACTCATTGTCATGTTCATACTTGGTGTGATGTTCTGGTTGATCTTCCCTTCATGTACATGTGCTTTTCATTAGTCTAGCCACTCATTGTCATGTTCATACTTAGTGTGGTGATCCGGATGATCTTCCCTTCATGTGCATGTGCTTTCCGTAAGGTCTAGCCACTAATTGTCATATTCATACTTAGTGTGATGTTCCGAATGATCTTCCCTTCATGTGCATGTACTTTCCTTTAGTCCTAGCCACTCATTGTCATGTTCATACTTATTGTGATGTTCCGGTTGATCTTCCCTTTCTAAGTCCACACGAGTGAGAAATGATCGGAAGGAAGGAGGATAGAAGTCAGATGGAATGCAACCAAGAAAAGGAATGTGGGGAAATGGATGGCCGACCGAGGGAATTATGGAAAGGGGGTACTTAGGAAAGGGGGAGGTAAATTAGGGAGACCTTAATGGGGGGTCTGAAATAATCCTCATTTAGGAAAAAGGGTTGACTTGACCAGAAGAACCGGTTGGTACTCTTTCATGAAAACAGGGGCCGGGTGCTGGAAACAAGATGGCGCGATGGTTGTCTCCCCCGACTTATACCAGCGGTCCACAAATGCCAGTAGACGTAAAGGATGGGGTGTCGGTCGTCCTCCCGGAAGATGGGGCGTGGACGGACCTTGAACCAGCATATCAAACCCTAATGCTGGAAGGGGAGGACGCGTTCCTATGGATAGAGACGGTATGGGCTAATGTTAGCTTGACAAGGTTGTCGCCAAGTTTAATGGATTTGGAGTTCCGGGGAACAGTGGAAGCTCGAGGGCGGGTTTACTTGTCGCAAGATGGAGAGAATGCTATGGTCGTAGAGTTGGCATTCGGGAATGCGCCGGACGAGCTGTTTAGGAAGGCTGAAGTGGAGGTTGTGTGGGCCGCGTATCAGCGAAGGGAGATGGAAATGGAAAGGGTAGATATGCGGGTGGAACTTGGGGATAGAGGAAACATGAGGTGGCCCGTCAGAACCATGCGATGCGTGCTGCCTCCCTTCCTAGTGGATGCGGTGTTTGGAATCCGGAGCAGGCTGGTAAGGATGTATCAGTCCATGACGAACCTTGGACTATACCAATGCGCTAGGCAGGATTTCTTTCGGTTGTCAGTAGAAATGGGGCCGTTTGAGGGGAACTGGGCGGACGAACTGGCCGAGATACTAAGCTGCCTTAGCATGGACAATATCTATGTCTCTAGCCCTGTACATTGGGGGATAGTGTATAGAAATGTGGCAATAGGGCAAACATTTCTGGAGGGGGTGAAAGAGTTGTTATATGACGAAGAGGACGACTTCAGTGATGAGGACGAGGATGAGGAGATAGAGGATTGGGACTTCTGAGGAGGGGGACTTGACCTTGGAAAAAAACGGGTGGCCTGGTATTGTGCAGGAAGGGAAAAGGATGACTAGAGAAGAGATGATGATGGAATACACCTTCAAGGGATGGGAACCAAGACGACTCAGAGGGGGGGTAGAGATGCCTATACCAACGGAAAACGAATGGAGAGGGACCACGTGCGACGGGGTTGGGTTTGAGGTTGCCCGGGAATTATCGTATGTATGGATAGAGCGGATTTGGAACCCAATAAGGGAAGAGGAAGGTTGGGACGATTTAGTAGAGGGCAAAGTGGAATCAGTCGGAACAATTGTCCTCTACGAGGACGGGTGACACATATTTTGCACTATGTTAGCAATGGGACAAGATCCAATGTAGCTTCTAGGGGTTGCAAAGGCGCGAACCCGAAAAGAAGGCAAGAGGTTCGTCAAGCCTCCCTGCCTGCGCACAACAGCTTGGGTGCCCGAGTTCGTGGTCGACTGGTTCGGGGGTTTTGAGCACATAGCAGACGTAGCCGACTCCATGAGGAACGTACACATAGAATGTGTCTGGCTGACCGAGGAGTTCTATAGGTTCTCCTTAAAATATGGGCCCTTCTACAGGGATAAAGGCGGTGAGGTCATCACCGTCTTGAGGATTTACCTACCGCCTAGAGGTAAGCGCGAAAGCTTGGGACGCCATAGTTAGCCGGGAGGCGGCGGCCGCGCCATCCTATGTGGGACTCAAAGTTCGAGCGCCACAGGAAGAACGGAGTATGGAGGGTGCATGTGAATTAGGATGTAGCATAAGAAAGGGGGATGTACATTAGTCGGCAGGGGACGCGAGGAGGCCGAAATAAGAGCAGGCATGGAGACGGGATAGTGGCGGGAACCAGTGTACGATAGAAAGGGGGTACTGAAAGACTAAAACACGAAAAACGTGGAATCTCGGTGGGTGCAGCAATCGGACTAAGGAAGCGGGAAAGGAGGCATTGCGAGATGGCCCGGCGAATGACGTTCTAGGAAGATAGGCCTCGATGGATCCGACCACCAAGGGCATCGGGAGACAGGGTCGAAATAAGCCTGCCATCAAGGAACGTGGTGAGTAACCCGGTAATGGACTGGGTGGGGGTAGAATTGGTGGAAGACACGGTGTACCTAGTAATAGAACTGGAGTGGCGTACGAGAGGGGAATTCAGGGGCGTAAATTTGGACCTCCCAGGGCAAGCGCATGCGACGGGATCCTTACACCTGTCGGAAGAAGGGTGGCGGACCTTTGGGTTTGCCTTGGCCTCCGGGGATGACCCCGTGCGAATGTTCGAAGGGGCATGGCAAATAACCTGGCGGGAGGGGTTTGAGTTTGCAGATCCAGAACGAGATGACGTGACGGCTGAGGTAAAAGTCGCCGCGGCAGGGGTTTTTGAGCTGCCAAATGAGGTCATACGGATGAGTCTACCACCCTTCCTGCTAAGACGAATGGGAGGCATAGAACGAGTGGAGCAGGTGGTGACTGCCGAAACTAGGCTAAATTTTGACGATGCATTAATGTATCGAGATTACTATCGGGCCTTCCTAGAGATGGGGCCTTTCGGTGACGAACAGGGGCGCGAGGTGCTTTGCATTCTACAAGCAGTGGTAAATACTAGGCCGGGAGTCCCACATATAAGTGATGAGACCATGTGGAGAGTCATCCGGCGAGAGGTAGGTCGGGGCGCGACCTACATAGATGATCTCTACCGGCTGTACGAACGGCTAGAGGGGGCTACTGCTCCTGGGGGTATGGAGGGATAGTAGGGACTAGAAAAGAGGAATGAAAACACGAAGGGCAAGGGAGGCAGTAGGTGGACGGATTCTGAAGATTGGTTGTAACCCTTTCTATGTGGACTATGCAGGGAATCACCAAGGTAACAATGGCAGCAAGACGTGAGCGAGTGGAACGCCAGCCCCGGTACCTCGGACCGCCCTCGAATAACGGTGGACGATGGGAAGTATCCCTCCCGTCGAGTTCTACCTATCGGGGGTTCGACATAGAAAGGGGGGGCCGTGACTTTGGGAAGGGACGCCGCCTTCATGTTGGTAGAATGTCGATGGACAGGGATGAGACTCGATCGAGGACCCGGAGACGATCTATTTTCCAATATTGAAGTTACCGGGACCATGTACCTACCTGAGATCGGCTGGCACTCGTTGGGGGTAGAGATAGCACAAGGTCACGAGCTGGCACCGGTCTTTCAAAGGGCCGCCCGGACGTTGACCCGGATAGGACAATCAGTCAGGGGTAGAAGGAACGTGGGCTTACTTACCCGGGTGGAAATGGGGGGACGGCGGGAATTCAGAGCACCAACCACACCGCTGAGGTGCCGGGTTCCCCGTTTTATGATAGACCTTGTCTTCAGGAGCCTCGCAAGTGCGTGGGAGCTGGCAGACTTGGCAAAAATGTGGGCGGACCACTTTCCCTCTCCAACTATCGTGATGTTCTATGATATTGTTGTGCAACATGGGCCGTTATGGGGAAACAGGGCCCACGAGTTACTAGAAGTCATCCACATCCTGATGTTTTGTGCGCCCCGGCTAGACTGGACGGGGTGCGAACGCATAATCCAAAGGGAAATCGAGATAGGGGAGAATTATCTAACGGGGGTGGCTCAACTATTCGAGGAGCCTACCGAACCGGAAGGGCCACAAGGGCGAGAACGGGACTAGCACCCGCAGGAGAGCCAGTAGGGCAAATCAAGCACAGGCCGCTACGTTCAAAGGCCCGCCGACAAAAATAGGAAAGGGCGGGGCCTCGGGCCCGGATGATCAATAACCGCCAGACAGGGAACACCACGCAGGAAAACTTTTTCTAGCGGGTTGCCCAACCCGGACCCCTACGCACCGACCAACGGAATAAGGGCGCTCTAAATGAGCCGGTGATAAGGGAAGCTAAGTCACTCCCTTAGCTCGGTGAGGCAGCAAAGCCGGAAGCAGCTCCATATTAAGGAAGCCATCAGAAAATGGGAATGGGGAAAAGCCTAATTACTAAGTAAAAGGATAAACCAACAGGATTGGAACCTAGGGAGCCTAAATGCCTTGCACTGCGTTTGTTCTGGGGAATCCTTTGGTTATGCAGAAGTAGGCAAGTATGGCAACGGAGGATGAGACGAGAAATCATGAAAGCGAGGGAGGACCAGGCTTAGGAGGCAGTGTTGAGCAAAGCAAGGAAGGGCAGAAGTACAGGGAATCAACAAATCCGGATGGCACAAAAGGGAACCGGAAGGAAATGTCCTCGGGAGAGAGCTCGGGAAAAGCCGGGGGAAGCAGACAGGGGACCCAGGAAAACAAGGAGGGCAGGAATAAGGATAGGGCAAGCCCCGGGAACTCGGAGGGAGCTCTGTCTAAGAAAGTAAGGGTCACAAACGCGAGGCGCAAACTAGCAGAGATAGAGAAAAGGACCGCGGAATACAAGGCAAGGTTAATTGAGGAAATGATGATTGGGAACGAGGAAGGCCCTCTGCAGGAGGTACCGCGGGACAAACGGAAAACCAGCCGGGGTGGAACTGGGCAAGGGGACAAGGGTAGTGACCGTGGGGGAACGCCGAGCAAAAGAAGGAAAGAGAGAGAGAACTCTCCAGGAATGGAGGCAGAGAAGGCGACGAACCCTTTAGCCATAGACAGTAGGGTTAGCTGTCTGCTGGTCTCGCCAGCGGTATCGCGAGGATGCGAAGGGCTCTGGAGCCTCAGAGAAAGGGTGTTGGGATGGTTCGACCCGGAAGGAACGGCAAAGACTAGAGGGGGGCAGGAAGCCAGCAAGGAAGGGCCAGATACCAGCATGGCATGCGAGGCCAGCAGCTCCGAAGGCGGCCTTAGGAAGATAGTATCATCCCTTGCACGAGCACTGAACAAGAACCAAGGCTATCTAGCATACGCCAAGAAAAAGATAACTTTCGATGGAGCAAACATCACGGAATTCCTGATCGACTACGAGAACCTAGCTGCGTTACTAAAGTGGACCGAGGAGGAAAAGATGGACCATCTAGGGCAGCATGTGTCGTTAAGCTTAGGACGGGACATAATGGCCATTGTAGCCGCGAACCGGTCTTGGAAGGAGACCCGGGATGTGATGATGAGGAAGTACCTAGCGGCAGAAAAAATGGCAACGGAGGTCGACCTAGCGGCAGTTCAGAGGAAGAACTTCGCAACGTACAATGATTTCCTACGGGAATTTACTCTAGTAGCACTAAGGATCCCCGGGGTCACGGACCAGATAATGAGCAAATATTTCCTCAGGCAGTTCTCCGAATTCGACAAAGACAAGATCCTGTCAGCTTACCAACAGACGAGCAAGTTCGTAAACACGCGGGATGTTGATTTTAGCACGGTAACGGATCTGGCTGAGAAAACGGTAGTAACAGAAACGTTGGCCTTGCTGAAGGAAGGGGAGATCATAGACTTGACCAGTAGGACGGGCGACAAGGTGAAAAAAGGGATTGAAAGCCTACACGAACGGGTGCACGGAGTCGACAACAAGATTGAAAGGATGGAGAGCACGCTACTAGTTATGCAGGCGCAAGTATCCCGTCCCCCCCTCCCGCCCCAGGAAGCAGTAGTTCCGCCAGGGGTAGCCAATCGTGGATATGGACGTAGAGATCCCGCCAACGAACAATGCAAATATTGTACCGTGGTAGGACATTTTGTGCGGGCATGTCCAAAGCTCAACCATAACATACTGAAAAGGAGGTGTACCAGGTCATTAAAGGGGGAGATATTTGGACCACAAGGGGAACGGGTGAACTGGAACTCGCCAGGAGGATGCGGCGAGCCATTATCATGCTCAACGCGTTAGAAATAATGGTCGTAGAAGCCGAACCGGTGGGCGAGATCATCTGGGATCAACTCCGGGGGCGTGGGCCGCAGGTCAACTTCATTCTGGAAAACGACGGACGAGATAGGATAAACGCGACTACTCGGCTAGGGACGGCTAGGAGAACGATTATTCGTGACACCGTGATGGAGGAGGTTGCTGAAGGAACCCCAGGCAGGGCTTGAGGCCGAGGAACCGGAAAAGGTCTATGGGAAACCTAGGGAAGAGGAGCCTACAGACAAAGTTACCGCTGCCAAGAAGAAGTTTAGGTACCAAATCCCGATCTTATCCATGTCTGAGATCGACGACACCCTTGGCAAACTGCTAGGAACCATGGTGTCGGTGTCGTTTCAGACGATGTTGCAGGCCAGCCCCAGGTTGCTTAAAGGGCTTAGGCAACTGTTGACTCGGCGATGGGTAGAGATAGACGAGAACCCCGAATTACCGGAAGAGGAAAGGGAGGAGGAACCTCCACAAGAAGTCGCTAACCTCCAAAGGAGTCGCGGGGATCTGGAAGATCTCGAGAAGGCTTTGGCAGACGTCCGCCTAAGCCTACCAGACAGGGAAGGTGGCGAGGTCATGAGGGCACCTCCTGGGACAAAGCTCAGTTTTCATGCGCTACCCGTAGGAAAACTGAAGGTTCAGATTGGGACTCGTCATACCGACGCATTGGTAGACGGGGGAACAGAAATTACTCTCATAAGGAAAGATTTCGCAACAGTCACGGGTTGCACGGTAAATAAGGAAGTAACAGGGAGCATCCGGGGAGCCGGTGGGGAAATCCCGTTCGCTGGGTATGTCACGAAATGCGCAGTCAAAGCAGGAGTCAGGGAGTCAATCTGGTCATTTCAACGGATGACCATAATGGAGGAAATGGACCACGATATAATCCTCGGGAGACCATGGTGCGCAAACGTGGAAATGATAGGCATGCACTTGCACGACGGCACGTACATGGTAGACATAGAGGACCCAGTGACCGGCCGGGGAGAGCTCCTCCGATTTCTGGGGACAGGAGGGGACCCTCCAAAGGAAAAAATGGCCACGTGGTCACCTTCGTTCGAAGATAGCGCACGAAAAGGGGCTTTCACGCGGATGGAAGGTATGGGAGAGAGAGGGTAGAAATAATGATTGAGGAGGTATTCAACAAAAAGGAGTGGATCAAGATGGGCCTGCCCCAGAAGAAGAGGAGGCAGGAGCACGAGATTTTAGGTGTCATGGTGGCAGAAAAGGAGACGGAAGTTGAGCTTGGGGCCAGCCTGCCCAAGCAAAGCGAAGTGCGCAAGGATGTGTCGGAAATCGCGCTCGAGATCCCCGATTTGTTGCAGCTCATCAAGGCCCTTAGATACCACAAGGTAGGAGTGGACCCGGCGACCTTGGCGAAATTTGAAGGAGAGGTACAAAAGGGACATTGCCTGAATGGAAAACTAGTTAGTATTCAGCCACGAGTCGAAGAAGCAACGAGGGCAATCCCGACCGTTCATTTTTAGGAAAAAGATCCCGAAAGGAAGTGTTCGAAAGTACAAGCCGGTAGGGAAGAAAGCAAAGCCGGTCTCGATCCTGCTTGAGACATCAAAGGAAGAGGCCATGGAAAAGGAGGAGGAAGTTCTGCAGGTGATCCGGGAAAGGAGGGCAACTGAAGGGCATCGAATACCGGATGAGGTAGTCGACACGATGAAGATAGGGATAAACGGGTTCTTAACAGAAGAAGAAAACCGCCTGATCAAGAAGACCTGCCAGGAGTTTCATTTGGCATTTGCCTTCAGTGACCATCAGAAGGGGCGGTTGGACGCAAAATTGATCCCTCCGGTCAGAATCCACACGGTAGAGCACGAATGCTGGAATGACAAGGGACCGTCATATGAATTCGGAATAGCGGGGGAAGTGACAGACCTCCTTCGAGCAAAGATGGACTCCTTCGTCGCGGAACCTACGACGTCGCCATATGCAAACCGGTGGTTCGTCTTTCGAAATCCCAATAAAACGTTAAGGTGGATTCAGGATTTGCAGAAGATGAATGCAGTGACCATCCGGGATGCTGGCTCGCTACCCCAGGCCGATCTATTTGCGGAATCGCACGTCGGACGAAGCATTTACTCCCTAATAGATCTGTACTCGGGATATGACCAGCTTCCATTGGATATCCGGGACAGGCCGTACACCTCAATGCACACCCCGGTAGGCCAGTTGCAGATGCAGGTGACCCCTATGGGCTTTACTAACGCGGTAGCCGAAGCGCAACGAAGAATGCTAGTCGTAGTCGGGGACATGTTCCCAGAAAAGTGTGAACCCTATATCGACGACAATCCAATCAAAGGCGCGCAGGAGAAGGACGAGACAAAAGTCCAACCAGGAATCCGAAAGTTTGTATGGGACAATCTACAAGACATTAAGGACTTGCTCTGCCGGTTCCTAGTATACAACATCACGGCTAGTGGACAAAAGAGTATTCTAGCAGTACAAGAAGTAACCATACTAGGATTTTGCTGAGGTGCTTACAGTAGGAAGCCAGATCCGACGAAAACGGACAAGATATCGCAGTGGCCAACCCCCCTGCGCACTACAACGGAGGTGAGAGCGTTCCTAGGCGTGGTCGGTTTCTGGAGGATCTTTATTAAGAATTTTGCCAAGATTGCGGAGCCTATCCGAGCTATGATCAGAGAGGAAGGGACCATGGACTGGACGGAGGAGCGAGAGGGAGCCGTCCAGACTCTCAAGGACATTCTGACGTCAGAGCAGGTCGCTTTGTCGGCGCCTTGCTTTAATGATGAGGTAGGACGACCATTCATCCTGGAAACAGATGGAGGGCCTTTGGTCGTAGGAGGCGTACTGATTCAAAAGGACGAGTGAGGAAAAGAGAGGCCAATTAGGTTCGAAAGTAGAACCTTGAACTCCGCAGAACGGCGGTACTCGCAATTCAAGAAGGAAGTCCTAGCCATCCTGCATTGCCTTAAGACCTTCCAGGCCTACCTATTTGGGAGGCGATTCATCTTAAGGATCGATCCGACGAATGTCGCAGGGGCTCTAAAGAATTACAGGCCTATAGATCCGACGGTAGGGAGATGGGTAGGATTCATCCGACAGTTCGATTACAAGATCGAACGGATTGCTGGAATCCGCAACAAGGCAGATGGGTTGAGTCCGGTTTGCATCACTCCCGAAGGGGTGGAGGATGCGGAGCCCATAGACGCATTCCTTGAATTCGAAGGAGGGACACTTGCGGTGGACAACGAAATGATGGGCGAGGGGTGCGCATCTGGGGAATTGCTGATTCGGACCTTGGAAAAGGGGGCACTTGCCGTAGTAGCAGAACTTAGAGAAGGACCAGTCACCACTCGAGGTCGTAAAAGAAAGGGATTCATGGGGAGCAATAGTAGGACCAAAGGAAGAACTCATAGCAATGACGGTTGAAGGGGGCTGGGAAGCTGTAATGAGCCTAGTGGAATCATGGGAAAGGAAAGAGTTGAAATGGTTGGTAAACCAGATGCAGGAGAAAAAGGAGGAGGATCGGGAAGGAAAGGAGTTTTTCTATGCTCGGACATACGAAGGGATCTTTCGGGAGATCGGATTGTTGCTAGTAAGAAACAAACAACCCTTGGAAATCGGCATTAAAGCAAGGGAGGGAGCCGGGAGGTACGTCCTAAGGGGGGGCCACCTGTTCCGAAGAGAAGAAGGAACTATGACTAGAAGAGTCGTGTGCGGTAGATCTAGGCAGTTGGATGTTATTCAGGCAATGCACGACGGCTTGGCAGGGGGACATCAATCATCAAAAGGGACTTTTGCGAAGATAGCACCACTCTATTATTGGCCATTCTAGATGCGCGAGACAACTTAAGTGCGTTCATGGAGGCGGTCACCCTCAAGAAAGAGACCGGGAGAAATGTGGCTGACTGGATAGAAGACTTCTATTTGAGGCATCCTTTTGTCAGGAGGTTTATAGCGGGCAATGGGACATAATTTGTGAATCAAGAAGTATTGGGAATGCTTAAGAGACTTTGTGTGCCGATCAAACTCATCGAGCCATATCACCCAGAGGCCAATGCACCGGTGGAAAGAGGGCACCGAACCCTAAAGAACACGATCGCAAAGCTCGTGGCGGACCATCTGGGAAGCTGGCCCAGGTACCTCAAGCAGGCGGTTTTCTCAGAGAACATGACACCTAAAAGGACAACAGGATGTATCCCGGCGGAACTTTGGTACGGAAGAGAGATCGACTTTCCTGTGGAAGCCTTGGTACCTACCTGGAACAGGTTAGATGATCATCCGCGAATGACTACGGAAGAGTTAATCGAGGCAAGGTGTCAACAAGTCCTTAAGAACGAAGAAGTCATGGAAGACATCGCCAACCGGGTGCTAGACAACAGAATGAGAGACAAAGCAAGGTGGGACCAGGTTCAGAACGTCAGAAAGGAGCCACTTCAGGTGGGGGAAATGGTATTGCAAAGAAACTCAGCACTAGAGAGTACATGGTCTGGGCAGTTGGGGAAGAGGTTCAAAGGCCCCTACCGGGTCGTCAAGCAGGTGGGACTGAACACCTTCGCACTAGAAGACCTTGATGGAACTGGACTGAAAGGACCCTTCCCAGGGCAACGGTTGATTAGGTTTCTGAGTCGGGACCCGGTGGAACAATGGCTCCAGGAGACCGAGGATAAGGAAACTGAGGAACAACAGGTTAAGGATTGACAAACCGTCATGCTCTCACTATGGTTCGATCACTGACTGCGTTCATGGGACTGTCGATTTTTTCTCTGGGGCAATGGGTTGGACTGACTGACGTTGAGAAGCATGATGACTTGGGAGTTTGGGGTAACGGTTTTTTTTGGGTGGCCGCAAGGAGTGGCAGGAGCAATGTATCATAGTGTTGACGGGGGAATGTTGGGATCATCACAAACGACGCATTCACATGTATAATAGGGGCATGGTGCGGGGCATGTTGGGACCATTCTGGGGAAAGGGGAAACTGGCTACTAGACTGGGGGAATGGGTGCATGAGGGGTTTTGCGGGTGTTGTTTTGTTATACAGGGTCTAAAAGAAAGAAAAATGGAATTCGGCAACAAGAACGACAGCCGGGCGATCAACAGGCCTACCGGAGGGGAGGAAGCAGGACCAAGCCAAGGAAGGAGGGCGGCGATGAGAAAGTTGTATATAGGACTCATGGGTGGGTCACTGGTAGGCAGGGGTGGAAGGAAATGCTTGTGTAGGAAACCCTCGCCCCTCTGCGAGGGAGAAGGTATAGAAATCTCGTCTGACAGTGAAGGAGGGAAGGAAAAGGCAGAAGTGGAAGAAGGAGGCAATGCAAATATGAGAGACAAGGCTCGCGCCTCTGACGAAGAAAGGGCCGAGGAATGCGAACGACGTGAGCCTTGGGATGAGGAAAGGAGGGAGAGACAGGACGTGCGCTACGAGCGAAAGGACGAGGAGGGAGAAAGGGAAAGCCCGCTTGAAGGAAGAAGCGGCCACGACAGCTGTGAGGGGTATGGGACGGGGACAGAGATTCCTTTTACCTACGATCCGAAGAACCTAGCAGGTGGGTATAGCGCCATATAGACAGAAGACGAGGAGGACGAGGAGAAGGATGTACAAGAAGTCATAGAAATCAGCAGCGGGGATGAGAGGGATGAGATCTCAAGGCCTAGGGAAGAAGGGCGGCCTCCGATGCACCAGCCGGGCGACAGGGCTTTCAGATGGGAGGACGAGTTTGGGCCAACACCCAGTCATTGGTTTCAGCAATGGACCAATGTGATCAGGCACGAATGGATTATTAAGACCCGGGGACTCGCAAAGGCGGGGGTGGAAGCTACGCCGTTGGACTTCTTTAGTGAAACTGAATTACAGGAAATTGCAAGAAATAAGAGAAATTGAGACCTACGGCCTGGGGGTTAGGAAGCCTGCCGAGGAACAGGGTGGACAAGGAACGGGGCAAGACGAGGCGCAAGGCAGCAATAGGAACTAGATGTTGACTTAGCATTGAAAAGGATCGCTGCTTTTCTGTTTACAAAGACATGAGAATGACGAGAACGTGTACAGTATGGGCAAGCTTGCTAAGGATGAAGTGAAAAGAGGGCCAGCTAAGGTTGTGTCATGATAAGATAGAAGATAATTTTTGAGGCTACTTTTTGGATGAGCTACCTTCTAAGGTGGGTACATAAGACAAAGACATGGGATTTGGGTTGCGACCAATTGGGAGAGGGTGTATTTCGAATTCTGGATGGAATAAGGATTATGCTTTTGAAAGGAGAAAACATTGAGTACGGATTGACGAGCGAACCATGGCATTGAATGATTGGTCGAAGTACAAGAGAGGTTAGGGAACCTATGGGTTAAGGGGCATGAAGAATACCCCTTCCCTAGGAGCCTAATCCAACCGAGTTATGGAAAGGAATGACCCTAACCAGGCTGTTCGACTTGACAATGGAAAGGAATGGCCCTAACTAGGTTGTTCGACTTAAGAATGGAAAGGAATGGCCCTAACTAGGCTGTTCGACTTGAGAATGGAAAAGAACGACCCTAACCAGGTTGTTCGGGAATGGCCCCTGACAAGGGTTATTCCTTTTGAAATAGGCACAAGGGTCTCCTGCGTAATTGATTGAGAAAGGTTGATTGAGAAAGGTTGATTGAGAATGTGTTGGAATGAGTAATAAGAGATGGAAAAGGTCGATGGGTCGGTCATTGAAATAGCCAAAGGATGGATGGAAGAGATGGAAAAGGCCGATGGGTCGATCATTGAAATAGCCAAAGGATGGATGGAAA